ATTAGGTCAAAGGTTACCACAAATTTAACCCAACCTCTATTTTACGAATCCCCCGGTTTACGTACACCCTCCGGTCCCGTGCTGTACGTAAATTCGAGGTTCTACTGTACTTAATGTATAAATACACAATCATATCATGGAAGTATAATATCAGAGATTATAGAATGACAAGGTCCGAATGTCTTGGTTTCCTTGAAATGGAATTGAAAAATACTACAACAAACTAGAGAAAGTCCTTAAAAAAAAATGATATACACATAAAAGTCGGTTGCAACAAGCACATGCTACATGTAAAGAATGCTTGTTCGAAATTTCAAAGCTATTTAAATTATAATAGGGCATCCCCTATCACATGGGAGTACTGCGTCTTCCGTTTCAGTGGGCCTGCAAAATCGGGAGAGTTGGTCCTATTGTCATTCTGTACTCTTTGAAATATACATGAATATTGTAATAATATCAAGAATCATACCCAATCTGCCAATCCGTCAATTTCATGTCAGTTAAGATCTTCACAACGCCACGGTTGTCAGTTACCAACTTTGGGCTCAACGCCAAGATACGGTATCTGAGTATTAGGAAACAGTATTATTTGTTTATGCGATTTATGGAAAATTATTTTAACACATTGTAAAACAAATTATTTTTACTGTATTTAACTTCATAATAAACAGTTGCAAGCTGCCCACCAATTACAGAATGGAATACATAAAATGTCCAATACAAAATAGTAAAAATATATATACTTTTCACAGCAAGCCCATGATCAAGAATGAAAGAGAAAAAATAAATAGGAACATATAACAAATATAGTGAATTTATTATTTTAAATGATCATAAAGCAAACTGATGCATATACAAAGGTTCAATAATAAAACTATGCAATTTCATCCATACAGATACTACCCCCATGGAATAAAGCTGTGATTAAGATACATTTTCATGACAATTTATCCAGGAAAGATGGAAATTATATTGTAATATGAAATTCCGTCTTTCCAATATAAATTGTCATTCAAACATGTGTCAATCACAGGTTTATTCATGTTTCCAATATAAATATCAAGGAAACTTTGAAGGTTATTTGAACACACAGAGGAAATCTGCAGAAAATTGGACATCCTAAAAACAAGAGCATCTGCGTGTATAATAGTGACCAGCATCGCAAAGTGAATAATAATGTCAAACATCTTTGTCTCAATATACCCCAAGGGAGATATGCAGCAATAAAAATGTCATTAGATAAGTAACCTTTTGACAAAATCTTCGAAGAGAGGTCGCACTGCGTAGCCCAGCTTCCTAATCCTAGTCGTCTCAAGCATACCGGTGTATCGAAGCTGAAAAAGTACACACATGCATTAAAAGTGCTTCACAATAAATTTAGAAGACTAAAAGCGTTAACAACCTCGGATCTATGCCATTGCAGAGCGCTACCTACATTATTTAGATTTTATCGCCCATTAGTAGATAGCATCATTGTGATAAAGACCATTGCATGTATAACTATTAAAGATATATTCCTTTCACAATTTCAGTCTTATTGATAAATATTGTCATTGGTGCTACTGCTACACTGGAACCGATACAGCCATCCATTTCAAGACTTAAAAAAGGTTTCTTGTCAAATTAAATTTTAAGATTAAAGTATGGAAGAATGTCATACAATAAAAAAAAATTTAATATGGAAGACATTACCTTAAAGGGCTTAAAAATCAAATAAAACTTTGCTAATTTCTAAAAATTGATTGTAAACAATGCCACCTCACCCCAGTAAGGATTATATGGTTGAAGAAGGTTATTGTTTACATATATTTTATTATGTTTCGATTCAACCCGTTAGTGGCGTTTTTTATCGCTGTTGGTTTCAAACTGAATAAAATTTAAAAAAATAAAAAATAAAGAAGCAACAAATGCATATTTTTATGATGATAGTGAGACGGAAAGAAATATAATTATTCATCATTTTTCCCATACTAAAGAAGATGACAGAGTGAATTCTAGCTTGAAGCTATGATGCTGGAAGTTAATGGATAGCTAGGCCTAGAGACGAACAGGAAGCATATGCTTACTACTAGATGCCTGGATAATGTTTATTTTTTTCAAAAGTATTTTAGGATGTACTGAGTATACAGTACAATAACATGTCAGGTTGAACAAAATACTATTACAGTACTATTGAGTCGGCTTATCTTTAATGGAACACACCTTTGATATAGCATTGTATTAGAATGTTAATTGGGGACCGAAATCTACCTTAGCCACTAAGAGTGGTCTAGTGGTTATATTACCGGATTAGTTATTGGGAGGTGGTAGGTTCAATTCCCTTCTGAATGACTTGAAATATTATGGAACATATTTAGTATACACAGTACAATAACATGTAAGATTTTGGCAGAACATCATTCCATTGATTTTTCTTGATTACAACACCTTTTGAAAAATGCAAACCTCATGGTAAATTGGATGTAATAATTACTTTATAATGGTGACATGATTGAATTCAAAATAAAGTAGAATATTGATTAAGGTACAATTACTAGTATATTGTAGCCAATACTGATGAATATTCATAAAAAATCTCACCTGTGCCGTCACAAACCTGCCATCAAATTGACG